AGTGTGTGATGAAGGAGGCATCTCAAATTGCTGGAGCAAAGAGAGAGAAACCTGGGTACGTACTGAAAAGAGATAAAAATCTGTATCTCACATCATACATAAGAAAAAACTTAAAAAGGATCAGGAATCCAAATGTAAACATTTAAATTATATAAATACTAGAGGGCCCCTGGATGACTCAGTCGGTTAAGCATCTGACTCTTTATTTCAGCTCAGGTCATGATCTCATGGTTCATGAGCTGGAGCCCCACATTGGGCTCTGCACCAACAGCACAGAGCCTGTCTGGGCTCTCTCTCTCTCCCTCTCTCTCTCTGTCCCTCCCCTGCTCACACTCTCAATCTCTTTCAAAATAAATAACTAAAACATTAATGAATGAATGAATGAATAAATGATATAAATATGAGGAAAAAACATGGGTGAATTCCTCTTTGATCTTGGTACAAGGAAAGTCTTTCTAACCACAACTTACAATCCAGACAAAATGAAAGAATAGATCAATACATGTGGCTACATAAAAATATAAAAACACATGCATGGCAAATCACCACATATACAAAGTCAAAAGACAACCGACACACTGAGAAAAATGTGTGTAACTTATACCATAGACACAGTGCTATACCCTCAATATTTAAAGAATTCTCAAAAAGGAGGGAAATAACCAAAATCAACAGAAGAATGGGAAAAAGACATGAACAGAAAATTCACTTAAACACATATAGATGGCATTTAAACGTGTGAAAAGATATTCAAATAGCTCATAATTAAAGAAACACAAGTTAGAACTACACCATTTCTCACCTATCAGATAAGCAACAATTTTAAAGTATGACAACACATCCTGTTGGCAAGGCTGGGGAAAACAGGCACCGTCACGCATGGCTGGTGGGAATACAAATTGGCACAGCCCTTTGAAAGGGGAACTTGGCAATGACTAACAAAGCAATCCATGGACTCACTTTTCAACTGAGCAACCCCACTTCTAGGAATCTACCCTGAAGATACATCCCCAAAAATACAAAAATACATATGCACAGATTATTCACTGCAGCATTCTGCAGAAAGAGCTTACATACCCATCCTCTGGACAACAGTTGTATAAATGATAGTACACTCAGGCCATGGAGTATTATGCAGCTATAAAAAGAATGAAAAGGTTCCTATGAACTGGTGTGGTATTGTTAAGTGAAAAAAAAGCAAAATATAAGAGTATCAGTAGGATGCTTCCCTTTGTGGACAAGGAAATAAGAAATTATGCAGGTGTCTTCTCAATAGTGCAAAGAAGAACTAGTGAGATAGAAACAAGGAGTAGGTGGAATGAGTTGGAAAGGATGGGGGAATGAGAACAGGATAGAATGGATGGTAAGGACAGGGGAGTGGCTTTTCTTAGTAAGTCTTTTTATATAGTTTGGACTTTTGGCGACCAGAGTAGTGATTCACTTACTCAGGATATGTAGATAAATAAAATCAGCAAGGATGGGAAAGAGAATCCAATATGGAGTGTGTATCAGTCAGGGTCAAATCAGGAAGTAGAAATCATGCAGTGATTTGAACAGGGAAATTTAATATAAACTCCAACTGTAAAGGTGTAAAGAGAACTCTGAAGAATGCTCTAAGGCGGAGACAGCCTGAGGAATGAACAAACTTGGAAGGGGCCTCTCCCCAAGGGTGAGTGAGATTCAGATCTCACTGGAGAGGGTGTGGTAGATGGAGACATTCAGTGAACGCTAAAAATTAATGGGTTGCCTGGGCCAGAGCAGCTCCACAGTCACCAAGCAAGCAGGAAATACCCTTCTGGGGTGCAGGCAGGCCGAAGCTGGCAGGAAGGAATTGCAGCCAGGGCCGACAAGCCAAAAGCACTCCCCTGGGGTAGCTGTGGCCAGGACAACAGACAGGCACACATAAGGTGTTGGGCTACTGGAAGCCTACTCACCAGAAGAACAGCATGAGGCCCAGGGTGATATCCACGTTGGGAGCGCCACAGTGAGGTGGTCACTGGACTGGGGCCAAGGCTGTGAGCTCACCCAGTGACTATGTGGTCTGGACAAGTAGCTGGGGCAGAGCAGCACTGGATTTTTCCACATGCTGCTGGCAGCCATGTGGTAGGAGTGAGGAGATAACAAAACAGCAGCACAGTAGAGCCGGGAGGAGAAGCGCCTTTCACCTATAATGTCCCTCCAGTGCCCTTACCTGGGAAATCATAACATCATGCTCTCTGTGAAGGAGAAATGCTTAATTTCCAGCTCCATCATTGCAGTGTAGGTAACAAAGGGTGAATTTAGGTAAGGGACAATATATTAATAACTGGCAAAGAACATAAACAATAAACCTGATTTCATAGTAACAAATTCCAAGCAATGAGTGCACCTGGTGCCCAGATCTGGGTCTCTGAATACCATCTCCAACAAAAGGAACCAAGGCTTGGTCATGCCATGGCTGAGCAGAGAACGTACAAGATGAGCCTAGAACATCTTGGGGTGCCAGAAAGTAAGTGTTTTAAAACAAATGATGGGAAACATGTCAAAAGGATCGCAGCCAAACTTGAAGGGGCTCTTTTGGCCAAATAGGGGACAATATGAACAAACAAAATAACCAATGATGTGAATACACCCCACAGAATACAGTAAATATCCATGAGTCCATGCCTATATAAATAAATAATCGAGTAAACAGGGAAGAAGAGAAAGCTATTCTTTACAATGAAAGTCTAACTAATACATGTATAAGTAATGATGGAAAAAGAATGCCACCATTTTAAAATACTATAGTAATGACAGTTTTCGGCAGGAATTATCGATGAGTGATAAAAATTCATGGCGAAAGTATTATTAGAAACAGGATATTTACATAGTTGCAAAGTAGTCCCCTAGAAAATACTTACTAATTAAAGAGGAAAATACTTACTTCATAGTAGGGAAATCTAGCAGATACCACCTTAACCAAATGATCACAGTTAATACCACCAGTCATGTGACAAATCATGTGCCTCTTGGTCTGACCCACGGAGAAGAACACAATATAACTTCCATCGTATTTTTACCAAAAATGCACAACCCCAATTTACTTATGAAGAAACATCAGACAAACCCAAATGAGGGACATTCTGCAAAAATAACTGACTAGTACTTTATTTTAAAGTGTTGAGGGGCGCCTGGGTGGCGCAGTCGGTTAAGCGTCCGACTTCAGCCAGGTCACGATCTCGCGGTCCGTGAGTTCGAGCCCCGCGTCGGGCTCTGGGCTGATGGCTCAGAGCCTGGAGCCTGTTTCCGATTCTGTGTCTCCCTCTCTCTGCCCCTCCCCCGTTCATGCTCTGTCTCTCTCTGTCCCAAAAATAAATAAACGTTGAAAAAAAAATAATAAAAAAAATAAATAAAGTGTTGAGGTTATGAAAGATGAAAAAAGACTAAGGAATTGTTCTAGATTGAAGGGATGAATCAAGCAAAGTGGCCAGGATGCCAAATGGAAAGAGAAGTTCCTATCAGGGTCGTATGAGTACGGGGCTGGCCGCAAAGGAGACCGAGGAGACAGGACAACTGAATACAGCATGTCAGCCTGGGTTAGATCCTGGACATTTATGGAGAAACTGGTGAAATTCACGTAAGGCCTATGGATTATGTAATAGAATTGTATCAATGTTAATGTCCTGATTTGGGTCATTGTGCTGTGGTTATGTAAGTTTTCACATTTGAGGACTCTGGATATACAGGAAATTTTTTGTACTGTTTGTGCAACACTTTTAAGCTTAAAATTAATTTAAAATAAAAAGTTTAAATGTTTTTAATTAAAAAATATTAAAGGGGTGCCTGGGTGGCTCAGTCGGTTAAGAGTCCGACTTCAGCTCAGGTCATGATCTCGCGGTTCGTGAGTTCAAGTCCCACGTCGGGCTCTGTGCTGATAGCTCGGAGCCTGGAGCCTGCTTTGGATTCTGTGTCTCCCTCTCTCTCTTCCCCTCCCCCACTCACATTCTGCCTCTCTGTCTCTCAAAACTAAATAAAACATTTTTAAAAATATATTAAAGACAGAGGTACTTGGGTAGCTCAGTAGGTTGAGCAACCAACACTTGATTCCGGCTGAGGTCATGATCCCAGGGTCATGGGATTGAACCTTGCATTGGGCTCCTCACAGAGCACAGAATCCCCCCCCCCGCCTCTCTCTCTCTCTCCCTCTCCCTCTCTCTTTTTTTTTTTTCCCTGCTTCTCACCCCCACTTACATTCTCTCTCTCTTCCTAAAAAGAAAGAAGAAACAAAGAAAGAAAGAAAGAAAGAAAGAAAGAAAGAAAGAAAGAAAGAAAGAAAGAAAAAAAGAAAGAAAGAGGGAGGGAGGGAGGGAGGGAGGGAAGGAAGGAAGGAAGGAAGGAAGGAAGGAAGGAAGGAAGGAAGGAAGGAA